CTGCAAACTCAAGCCCTAAGAGCACCTGCCTAGGGTGGATGGAGAGTGTGAGCAGCTGTGGCTTGAGCTCACTCATGCCATAAATGTAGCAGACGTCTGCCACAATGAAGCAGCATGAATTGATACTGTCTGTACTGCAGCCCCAAATTTAGTCATTTGTGGCACAACAAGGGATCTGTCTGCATGCCCTTTTTGCTGCCATAAACATTTTTATGGCTGCACAAAGGCAATATCTGTTTCCATATTTTTTCAAAGTTTTTAGAAATGAGAACTTGTTTTTTTTCTGGGAAACATAGCCAAAATTATTTTTGAAAAAGAAATTGTGTTGCCAAAAACAGCATGTTTCTGGTGCAAATCTTCCACCTGTCCATATTTTAATAGGCTACTTCAAATAGAGTGATGTAGACGAGTTGCAGAAAGATCTCGCCAAGCTAAGTGAGTGGGCAAAAAAATGGTAGAAGAATTTTAGTGTCAACAAGTGCAAGGGGGAAAATAACCTCAAATAAATGTACAGAATACTAGGTTCTGAACTAGCTGGTATGATTCAGGAAAGAGACCTTGGAGTCATTGTAGTTTGTTCTCTAATAACATCAGTTCAGTGCGCAGTGGTGACCAAAAAATCCAATAAAATGTCTGGCATCATTAAGAAGGGAATAGAAAATGAAATGGAGAACATCATGCCATTATACAAATCTGAGGTGCTCCTGTATCTTGCGTACTGTGTGCAGTTCTGGTCTCTGCGTGTCAAAAAGGATGTAGTAGAATTAGAAAAGGTACAGAGAAGGGTGACCAAAATGATCAGGCGCATGGAGCAGTTGCCATACTAGGAGAGAGAAAAAGGCCAAGTCTCTTCAGTCTGGAAAGAAGATGACTGAGGGGGAATATGACAGGTCTATAAAATGCTGAAGCATGTGGAACAAGTGAACAGGGAACTGTTGTTCACCAAGTCACAGAATATTAGAACTAAAGGTCACCTACTGAAATTGGTAGGTGACAGGTTTAAAACTAATTAAGAAGTACTAGAGTATTTGTTTACACAATTCATAATTAACTTATGGAATTCATTGCCATGGGGGGTAGTGGAGGCGGATAACATACCCACATTCAAAGAAGGAACTGGATAAATTCATGGATGATAGATCTGTTTATCATGGCTGTTGAACAAAATGGTTGGAGATGTTTCCTGACATCTCTAGCCCAATACATGAGGGATACCAGGGAGGGTATTGTATAGAAGATAGATCATTGTAGAGAGATCCCATTCGGTGCTCTACCTGTATGGCATCCATTTTCCACTGTCAGAAACAGGATACTGGGCTAGATGAACCATTGGTCTGACTCTCTGCCACTTCTTAAGTTCTTACGTTCTTAAAAATTGCATGCTTTCTGAAGGTTGCTGTATTCACACACTGGGTACTTATACTCAGTCCCTAATCATATGGTATAACTGTCACTGGTTTTATAATTTCTTTGTGCAATTTGAGTATTGACTTGCAGAAACTTGTTTTTCTATTGAGCTTGCAGTTTCAGTAGTAATTAGCAGTTATGTACTTTACACTATATAATGCATATGGTTGCAATTAGTCACTCTACATCACTTTTGAATGGTAAAGACTTGTAACCAGATTTGAAGTGGTGGTGTCAGAGCCTGAATGGGATGTTGGGAGAATTTAAGTGTCCAAGTTACAAACTGCAATTTTGTAGTGAAGTTTAGCACCTAAAAATGTTAGGCATCTCTGTTTTGGCCTGTAAAATTCCCAAAGTGTTTACACAAGGCTTTCTCTGGATCCTCAGAAGAAATCCAGCTGGAGCACTTCAGCACCTGACAGCAACTGAAGCTGTACATGCAATTCATAGTGAATCTGAGACATGCTAAACTCCAAAGTCACTAGAGAGGTACACTTAAGCAAACTTAGCTCATGCAGACTTTGCATTCAGTTAAAAAAAAAAAAATGGTGGTATGCCCATGTTTTGCTTAATAGACTATAGTTCAGAGCACTCATGAAGGAAGTAGGAAAGGTAGATTTTAGGTCCTCACCATGAGGGTATTTTAGTTATAAAATAGTTTGAGCCAAGGTGCCCAACAGAAGAACATATCCAATTCAGGGTTAAAGTCAACAGGAGCAGCAAGTTGCATGTCTGAAGGCAAAACTTTACTCTTATTGAGCAAAGTCAGTAAATTTTACAATTCTACCCCTTCTTTGCTTTGGTTTTGATCTTTTCTACAGTAGTAGGAACAGGCTGCAGTTTTAAAGAAAGACAACATTAGAAATAATACTTCAGATGCATCATTTTAGAGCTGTAAAATATTGGTCTATAGCAGTAGTTCTCAACTTTTTTTTTTTTTTTTTGTACAAGGACCCATTTATAAACATCGATGGCTAGTTCCAACCCAGTGCCCCTCACTCCTGACCCACTGTCCTTCGCATCCAGACCCAGTGACCTTTTTGTATTTTCTTCCGACACGTTCTTGGGTTGCGACCCACGGGTTGAGAAATGCTGGTCTATAGCGTGTTATACATTAGTTTCTTTGGCAGGAATAAATCTGGGTTTGCTGCTGAGACTGTAGTTTAGGTTTCCATCTGCTAGACAGTAACATCAGCGTTTTTCTTGAGTGACTTAGTGCAATCTGTTGCTTTATATTTCAGTTAAATTTGAGGACTGCTGTGTTTACTTGGGATGTATAAGGGTTAACCGGTTCTCCCTGAACCCAGCAGTCACTCCTGGAATGGAATTAAATTATGTTATACTTAACGTTGTTGTTTGTTGCCATTTTCTGTGGGAATACAGCGAAGTTGGGGTGGTTTAGGGAAGCGAGACTTCTCCAAAAGGAAAGAATAGTGCAATAAACTATTTAAGTCTAATCTGTGAGTTCTAGGAGGAGTGCACCCCAGGGATGGCTGATCCAGGCCTGTGGCAGCTTCCAGCCATTTTGCCAAAGCTACAGTCTGGAGGACTTTGTCAAAGACATGGGCATACACCTGCAGTAAGCAAGATTGTATGGAGTGCTTGGACCCAACCTATTTCCCTCTGCTGCTTTTAGAGATGGGTAGAAAGGTCTGTAATTCCTATCTACCCTGTAAATGCACTGCTCGTATGGAATCAGCGGGGGCTATTGACAGTTGATGTTTTTGCCTATGCCAGACAGATCAGGAGACTACAAGGTCTTTATATAAATGTGACCAAGTGAAAATGTCTTCTGTAATATTTTTCTTCTTCCTTCTCTTTGAAGAGATACAAATATCCTTTAAGAGAGCAAAATATCTGAAACCCACTACTAAATGAGAGCTTATATTTTGATATGAAAAGTTTAAAAAAAAGTTATAACAATATTCTTTGTGCTTCTAAACTTGCATAACTCAGCTAGTTTCTCCACTCCCTGGCCACACCACTCTGCAAAGACTGCATTTATAAAACGATCAAGAAAAATTGGATTCAGTAGGAAGTGTTGTGTTTTGGCATCACTTGTAGCGATATTAGCCCTCCAGAAGGCTTTTTGGAACACAAGTGTAATTTATGTTGCAGGACTATGAAAATCACTAGCAATTTATTTTTTTTTTAGTTTTGGCACAAAAGACTGGTTAGAGGACTTTTATTACTGGGGACAGTTGGGATGGAATATTATTGATACTTGGTTCAGGGATGATATCTGACCTAATACCTGTTCCAAAATGTCATTATCTCCAAAGTCTCTGGATAGTAAATGGATTTACCTACTTTCTAGTATAATTAGATATTTGGTACAATGAATGGTTTATTTTCTTCTTAGTAACTGCTCTGGCAAATTTTGTCCGCAGCTTCACCGTTAATTCTAAAATTAGTTCTCCAGGCTCTAAGAGGTTTTCAGAGTTGGTTTTGGGTTTTTGTTTACATCTTGTTGTATCTGGTATTTGGAAAAGGTCATGCTTGAGGTCATCTGAGGGCACTGGGATAGTCTGTATGAAGGTGGGTTGTTTTTAGTGTGGAAAGGCAGCATTCCCAGGAAAGTGTTTCTTGTTGCAGGATCCTGAATACTTTCAACAAGTGATTTAATGTTTGCTTCTGTTGCTGGACAAGCTGTTTAAAAAGACTAGGACTATTCTGAAAGTTTCATAATTGGAGCAGCAAACTCCGGGTTCTATATTTGAACATGAGTAGCAATAATTTACTCATTCTTATACTAGAAGACTTTGCTCATAGAGGGCAAAGAGTGAGCGCCCAAGCACCAGCAGGTCAATTTACAGCAGTGCCTGAGCCCCAGCTGCCGCCCGCAGGAGGCAGCAACTGCTGCCTTCTGTTGACCGCTAGGATGCTGCTGAAAATTGACCTGTACCTGCTTCCTACTAGTCTTTTTTTTTTTTTTTTTTTCTATTTATATGGTGGGGCATATCCTCTTTCAAAGAGGACATATTCTGTAAATGTGGCATGCATCTCAGAAGTACTGTACATGCATAGTGCTATCAAAGCTGGCATAATACTTACTTGCACTGTTCAGTGCTCTTGCCAGTCACCATAATCCAAAGACATTTTTGATAGGGGGAAAAAAATAATGAAAATGGATAGAATGTGGGATTACAACCTAAGACTGCTAGACTCTAGTCTGAACTCTCCTGCTGATTGACTCTGTTTTCAGTGTATCAGAGGGCGGCCATATGTAAAAGCAAATCATAATTTCTCCTTGGCATCCTGGCGGTGTGACCTTGTAAAGCATTTTGAAAGCCTCTGATGAGGAGGACTAAGAATTAGAAAATATCTTGAGTTCTTACTGAACTGATGATACCAGAAAAAATGAATTCACCAGAATTGCTGCACATCTTACTTGACAGAGCCAAGATACATAGGTAGAATAAAAATAAACAACTATCTACACAGAGTCTGGCCTTCAGTTCCCCTAGATATGGTTGGGGCAGAGTGGGGGACAACAGGTGTTTCTAGGAGGAGAGAGGCTTCCCTCCCTCTGTACTTGTTTGTATGGTGTCTGCATCCTCCACCATATGAATGTTTTCTTTTCGTTTTTGCAGATGACACGCTTGGTGCTGCCTGGCATGCTGGAAAGGTGAGTCACGCAAATGCTATCCAGACAAAGTCATCATTATTTATAGGGGAGAATCCTTTCTTGAAAAATTCATTACTGTGACTAATCAGCCTAGCCTCCATGTTTTAACGGCAGAGTAATGCTGGGTGAGTCATGCTGATAGTTCATGAATCATCAGATGGTGGAAGCCTTTTCCACTCGATTCCCCTTTTTATTTTCCCTCTCCCCCTTCTCTACTGTTGTGGTGATTCCTTTTAGAACAGAATTAAAGCCCGTCTGACTCATCAGCACTAACTCAACAACCTGCTATTCTGAGGGGGTGGTTACAGTTCCTGGGAATAACCTTCTTAAGGCTATTTCTTCAAGTCATTGTAAGTAAATGGATGCAGAGAATATGTTCTCGTTATACAGTAGGAGGTATATTGAGGGAAGTGTGTGATCACACAGTAAACAAGAATTGGAGACTAGGTCTTTAAAATAAGAGTTAATGCACACCAGCCTTTCACGGCTGGAGACATGTATTAACTTTCTAAGCTAGATTCCAGGTGATTCTAAAGCCATAAGGTTGGGCTGATCCCTAGGGGCTGTTTTGTTGTCCACGTTGATTGTTCTGCGGTGTGCACAGTGTTTGTTCAAGAGCTGTGTCTGGATTACCAGGGGATCCTCTAAGTCGAGACCTGAGGTGCATTCGTGGAATTGTATGGAAAATCGCATAGCTCCAAGGAGGTAGTCAGCGTGATCAGTCAGTTGCTTTTGTCATCTCCAAAGAAATATAAGTGGGAGAGGAATAAACACAATGGGTCAATGCTATTTGCATAGGAAACGCAGACTGCTAGTGTTGGTATGGAAACCAACTGAAAACACTAAAGAAAGCTTAAAAAAAACCCAACCTTTGGTATTTTATGTTGTCATAGCTCCTACTATTCCTTATTATAGACTGGAAGTGCTTTGTGCTAGGTGCTGTACTAGCACAGAAAATAAAAACGATTCAAGTATAACACAGGAGATATCAGCTGGATACAGCCAGGGGAGCACACAGACACAATGAAGCAATGGCAGGAGGAACAGTAGTGATAATTAGGGACCTGGGGTTTCTGTTTCCCATGGGGGTGGGAAAAACGCGGGCTTTCCCTTTTTAACAGAGGAAAAAACGTGGATTTTTCATTTTTAATGGAGAAACGCATGGATTTTCCTCTTTTGCAAAGAGCTCCCTGCAGGCTGGCAGAGTTCCAGCCTGCAAGGGGCTGGGGGAAGTGGGAGGAAGGCGGTCGGGTAGGGGACACCAGTACGTGGACACCAGGCAGCTTGGAGATCAGCTTCCACAGGTAAGTCTGGGCAGGGAGGTATGGAAAGGTTCCCATAGAGAGGGAGGGAGTTGGGCAGGGCTGGGGTTGGGGGCGCTGCCCAGCTTGGGCGGTATGTGGGGCTTATGGCCCAAGGTCCTGCACAGCTGCAGGCCCCTGGCAGGGAACAGAACAGTGCTACAGGGCCCCGGTGGGGCTGGCTCCCCACTGCTACGTGCAGTCCAGGGAGAGGGGCCAGAGGCAGCATGTGCCCCCCAAGATCTGTGCAGGAATGGGCTGCCTACTGCAGGTTTGGACTCCCTGCCCTGCTGCCCTCCCCCCAGGGCCTCTGAGGCCCTGTGGGAAGGACCTGGTGCAGCAGGGCCAGGCAGGGAAGCTCCTTGCTGCTGTGAGCCCCATGCTGTCCTGACAAGGCATAGCCTGCCCGCCCAGCAGCACCGGGAGCAGCAGTGTCGAGTTGTCCCCCTCGCTGCTGCCAGTAGGGCAGGGAGCATTTTGCCAAGGTGGTGTGGGGCCTGAAACAGCAAGGAGCTTCCTTGCCTGGCCCTGCCCTACCCTGCTGCCCTAGGTCCCACCCAGTGGGCCAGGGAGGCCCTGGAGGGGAGGGCAGCACCTGCCCCCGCCCCCCCAACACACACACAGGGGCTCCACTCTGGCATGCCACCCATAGGGGAGGGGATGCCAGGCTCTGCACTCCGCTGCCTGCTCAGGCTGCAGCAGTTGCTGCCTCCTGTGGGTGGCAGCGGGGGGCAGAGGGCTGCAGACCTGGGTCCCTGGCCCTATAGCCCTGGCAGCTGGCGGCCCTCTCCAGCAGGGCTGAGTGGGGTCAGGAGGCTTTGGGGTGGGGGCTGTGGCTTAGGAGTGAGGGACATGGACCTGCATCCTGGTAAGGGAAAGGGGCTGGGGAAGCTCTGATTTTCCATGATAATCCCCCCCCCCCCCCCCCCCCCCAAAAAACAAACCCCCCCCCCCCCCCCCCCCAAATCAAATACCAAAATTTATAGGTTTTTAGGATTTATTTTATTATAGTGATTTGAGCTACTGGTAGGCTTCCAGATTCAGAGACAACCCGAGCAGGGTGTGCGGCCTGGGGCAAATCAGCCTGTCCAGGGTCCTGACCCTGGACTCGAGGAAGCCGGCGGCAGATTCAGCAGCAGGGGTGGGGGTGGCAAGCTGCTGGACACACCAGATTCGGTGGTGGGGTAGGGTACCAAGTGGCTGGACATGAAGCCGGTAGCAGCATGAAGTCACCGTGCCACTCTGCCTGGTTCCATGGGGGCCCCCCAATATATATATATATATATATATAGTGGCGTTGCATTTTAATAGCAGATTTGGGGGGTTTTATCAGGGAATTTGTGATTTTTAAACAGAGAAAACTAGGATCCCTGGTGATAGTACATGAGGGGCATCCAGTGGAGATGTTATTTTAAGCAGAAGGAAGGGCTTCCAGAGTACAAAAGCTGATCTATAAATTGTTGTTATAAAGATAGTAGTGGGATTTGTGTTGTGGGTAAGGTTTACCTACACAGAAGACAAAAGCTCCAAAGATGGAGCACTGTGGAGCCCCTCATAAAACTGGAGCAGAAGATCAGGAGTTTTATAGCAGACATGTGGAAGCAGCTCCTGTTTCAGATGACAAAATTTACTACTTGTCCATGTTGTGGAGTTCTTCTCATTCCTGTATGAAGCTGGCAGGTATAGTCCTACTTTTTATCCTTTGTAGGAAATGGTTCACTTCAAAATCAAGTAGAGCAAAAGCATGTTAAGAAGCTCCACTGTTCAAGGGAAGAGAGATGGACACCTGAAGCCACTCAGATTTTTTTTAAGCATTTTTAACACTGTCTATTGGGCTTTGTTAAAAACAAATTTAGGCATAGTAACAGATCAGTGAAAAGGAATGACACAAAACAATATGCTTTAGGGAATTTCCATGGACCTGGCTAGCAGGGATGTCTCTCTTGCTCACTCTCTTTTCTCCTGCGTACTCCCTTTTTCTGGTACTACAATGTTTAATGTGTAGTTAACTTTTAAACCATCTAATCTTATAACTCTTCTATCAAACTTCCATCTTTTTCTCCAGGTACTTCCTTTTTAAAGAAGCTATTGCCTTTCCTAAATCTGTCTGACATTCCTCTTCAAACTCTATATGAAGTACTAGCTGCACATTTAATTATATCCTTACTTCATTTAGATTTTTGGCTTCTCAGCACAGCACCTCTGCTTTCCTGTTAAAAAGAGTATTTGCTGACACAGCATTTTACAAATGTTAAACTGGGCGGTGTGATCCTAATGAAGACAAAGGAGCACCTTCTTTCAGTTTTTCCTGACTTTTAGTTCTGATATTAGCCTTGAGCAAATTGCTTCATCTTTCTGCCTCCGTTTACTTATCTGTGAAATGGTAACACATACTGGCTGACCTAACAGGAGGTTGAGCACTAATGTTCAATATGTTGTTTGAAAACAAACACTGAACTAGGGTCTACAACAGTGACTGTCAGCCTTTTGTAGACTTAAGGTTATTCCCCTTAGTATTCACTTGTTTTTTATTTCTTTTCCCAAAGTAAAAAAAATAAATAAAATCTGTTGCAAAGAATTCAGACCACAACACCTCCGAGTTGTCGGGTTTTTTTTCACTATAAACCCAGAGATTTCAAATAGGAATCCATATTGTGAATCATGTTTGCACACCTAACAGTGCTAAGACTGAATGTCATCTAATGGAACCCTTGAAATGATCTCAAGGCACTGTAGGTTGCTGCAGCTAAGGTTGCCACCTGGCTAAGAAAGCTCTTCTCTTAGTGACTTCTACATCTGACTGGTGCTTTCAGTTATCTTCCCTGGCAAGTGAAGATGGGTGGCAAAGCCTCTGTATTCTGTCATACTACTTTGATAAATCACTTGGACACTGAAGGATGCAGAAGCCAGATCTGCAGCCAACAGCACCCAGTTTTTCAGAGACTGAACCATTCGTATTGTTCAGAATCTACAGCCTCTACAGATACCACGGTTCACCAAATTCAAGAATGCAAATGGCAGGTAGCTGTATTCCTTTGCTCTTTTTGAGCCAAACATAAGCTTTTCCTATGGGCTTATGCTCTGAGAAAATGTTAAGGGGGGCCCAAGTTGATCTACCCTATAACAGAATTAGGTTGAAGATCCCCTCATCCCTATGGGTTCTCCTCAAGAATAGTTTACCAAGATGGAAAACTAAGCTTTGGTGCTTAATAATGTCTAGTAGGATATTGCACTTCTGTTCCTTTGTGTGTGCACACACTTTTACAATATGTATCCTTCAAATTTAAGATAATATGCAGGATTAGGAGAGCAGACTTTGTGAGCCTTTGAAATCCATTCCTGTAAGAAGAAAACTTGGCCACAGTCCTTCTTTCTTTCATCTTAATATGTATCAAACTGCCTACTAAAAATGCCTATTCCATAAATGGTGTCAGACGTTCTGCTCTGGCTCACCCCCTGGCTAGTGAGAACTTATATTTTAAGTGTGATGATTTTAAATTTGTATTTTGTATTTCACTTAGATGAGCTGTTACATTTTAAATATTTCAGACTGTCTGTATAGGAGGGAGCTTCATACAACTTAGAGATGAAGATTTATGTCTTTGTGAACAAGAAAAAGCAGTTGACTATTTCTAGACAAATATCAAACTATGGTATTTATTGCCATGGAAGTAGCAAGTGCATAATTACGTTACAGGG